GCCCTGCCACTTGAGTAATTAAATTCGGCATCGAAAAAAAGGGGGCGAGCTGTGGCCAGTGGGCGTGGCATTAACTCTTTTGTGGCTTGACATTTTTGCGGTTAAATGAATTTAAAACGCACAGTGCACAGTGCAGGTGCCAAATGACAACAACAAATTGCCCGATTGCCTTCGCTCCTGGCCACCGAAAGTGTTGTCCTTTCCGCTCCTGTCGATCCTGTCGCCGTCGATGACGATGTCGACATATGGAAATGCTGATGGATGCATTTTGGGCGAGGCGGACTCGAACTCGAACTGGAATCCGCTGGCCCATTGATATGCAAATTGAAAAGACAACTGAAACAACATAACGAGCCGAGACACACGGAAGCGGAAATGTATTTGCGGATATTTACGTAGGAATATTACAAGGCCCTCGGGATAGGAAAGGTATTGAGATCTCTAAGGTTTCATATAAAAAAGGGATTTTCTGGGATTGGTCAAGTGGTTATGAGGTGGAGAAATATTTTTAAAATAATAAAAAATAAGTTACTAAATATTTGTAGGATAGAATAAATAGGAAAATCTTCAAAGGATTAAAAAAATCCTTTGTTCTACCACCATTCCCAAATATTTTTATTGCAAATATTTCCAGTCCACGTAACCAACATTCGGCTACCTCTGATGAACTTAAACTGACACGACTGGCATTTAATTTTCGCTGTCTACGGCATCGTGCACGTTTCTCTGCCTATTTTAATGTAATTTATTTGCAGTTGTAATTGTTGTCGCGGAAAAAAGTTAAAATGAAAAAAAAAATTGTTGAAAATCGTATGCAAATGGTTTCTTTAATTGAATCATTTAAGGGCAAGCGACAGTTTTAAAACGACAGCATTTGACATTTAACATTTATTTTCAATAATTTGCGCTTATCGCAATACGGATATAATTAAAATAGGTCCATAAAACTACCAATAAAAATAAGAAATAATTATATGAATTATTTAGCGCTAGATTATGGATTACTGAATTTTAAAAAATTAAATACATACTTTCAGTAAGTTAAAACCAGATTAAAATGAATTTGTTATTTCATACCAAAAGCTGGAAATCGTTTTATACTGCTTGCCAGCCAAGAAGGATTAACCAAGAATCTTTTGCTCAGTCGAGGCTTAAACCCTCACAATAACCTCGTATTTTCCACCTTGCCAGCCCTTTTAATTTTGCACAAGTGAAGAAGTACGAAAAAAAGACACACTCTTTTTACTACTCCAACCTGAACAAACTAGAAACATAGAAAGGTAAACTAAAAAGCTTTCCGTCGTCAACTTCCTAGGCAAGTTGCATTTCTGCATGATAAATGCGGTTTTTGATGTGTCCCTGTCCCTGCGAGATGTAAAGGATTTGCTGACAATGTGTGTGCAAATTGTGTGGTGCTTTTAGGGAGTGACAAAACAAAACGCGAAATGCTTCATTTGTTGGGAAAACAGGAAAAGGACTGGCTTCCAGCAACCTAAATATAAAGTTTGTTCAACTTCCGCAAGTCTCAGTTTTAAAAGGGACTAAATTCTGGATAATCCAACTAAAATTTAATGTAATTATTAGGCCATTTTAATATTGGTATAAAAAAATAGTGCATTTTTTTTTTAAGTACCTTTTTCTTAAATATTTTTTTAAGGCACCTGGCAAGCATAGTCAACACCTCACTTCCTGGCACTTGGCCCAAAGTTTTCTAGCCTAAATTAACACTTAGTGCCTTACAGATTAGACACAAACTTGGATTCTTGCCAATTGTGTTGCCGAGTGTGTAAACACGATTAACTTGGAAATTATTTTCTGTCATAATCTTTAATATTATTTTAAAAATATTAATTAAGTTAGGAACTTAAAACACTGCATACTGCATATCATGTACAAATGTATATTATATTATAGAATATTTTAGTAAACTTCGGAAATTATTCCCTTGCTTTGTAAATTGAAAATTCCGCTACTGGCTACCTAAAATTCATTAATAATTCCAAATGTTTAGAAAAAACTCTGAATTTTTTTCCCTTCAGTGAAAAGGAAATCTTAGATTTGTCCTTTTCCGCTTGTTTGGATTCGCGCCGTTGGCGTGTCTCATATTGCCTTGTGGAACATGTGAGGAGAAACTCATTCGCGTAGTACCAATTATCGTGATACTGGGGCAGTTGTTGCCGGATGCGGATGTGGATTCGTTTCACTGTTTGCTGCAGTTTCAGTTGCCTTTGCCTCTGGGGGTCCTTGTTCTTGTTGTGATTGGGATTGTCACGGCAACTGCGATGGACACACCAGCTACGTCACACACTCACATGGCCGATATATGGCGATGTGGCGATATGACGATGGGGATATCGCTCCTCGGGAAAATCAGAAGCCCCGGCCACCAAAACAGTCGCATACGTGGCACTGGTCGTCTGGTTTTTTCCGATGTCGATGCTCTTAGTTCCCGCTTTTTTTTTTGTTTTCACTGCTTGTACATCCTACGTGATGTTAGAATTTCACTTTTGTTACAACGCGCTGGGCAGACAATTGCAACATATTGTTGCGCTTCTTTCAGCGTTTTCGCCCCCCTTCATTTATGGAAGTGTTTTTCACGTTGTTTTCCTATACGTTGGTTTTTTCCGATTTTCCGGTCTTGTTTTGCTCTATATTTTGATGTGCTTGTTGACAGTGGTCGCAAAGAATTGAAGAGAAGCGCAGGATGTAAGGTATATAATATAAGCTGTTTTGCTTTTAATTGGAAACCTAATAGGGTCAATTTTAGCTATTAAAAAGGGTGGATTAATTCTTGATAATTTTTAAATACCAATTAATTAAAAAAAATAATGAATACTAATTATCTTGCAGGTAACATTTTAATATAATTTTTATGGCTAAAATCTTATAAATATTCAATATGAAAAGTTAACAAGTTTACCCTAAAATCAAAATTTACCTTCTTTTCTTAGAAAATTTTGGTAAGCCCCTTAAGCCCCAAATTTGTTGTAAAATAAAATTAAACTTTTAAAAGCAATTGCTTAAACGTTTAAAAATAATTTCAACTTGCTTCCGTTGCACATGCTCAACGGCAGGGCTTAAAAGTCCCCTCTTCAAGCTTTGAAATTCATTTAAAATTTATTAAAAATAAATTCCTCGTCTGGCATTTTCCGCTTCCTGGTTCTCTATCTATCACTCACTAATCTGTCACGTAAATTCGTAACGTTTTCTTGATGAAACTGAGAATGATGAACCAGCATTTATATTTATTTATTCTGCCCACAAAATATATATGTATTCTGCGAGATGTAAGGCAAAAACCGAAAAATAAAGTCTACAGAAGCGAAACAAAGAGGAGGCTGGCAAAAGAGAATCAATTTAATTTTACAATATCCGCTTTATACCTGAAGCGACGACGTGACCAATTTACTCAAGTAACAAATATTCCTGTGTTATTTATATTGCACCGAAATCAACATTCTCTCTGTGGTTTCCTACGCACAGAGACAAACATAATAATGCCGAACATCTGTGTCCTTGTGGTAATGGGCGTTTAGGAATAATTAAGTCATAATTTGATTTCCTTTTTTTATGTCTTTCGTCTTTTGTTGGTACTTCATTTAATGGGCCTGTCCACGCTCCTTGTCCAGGAAAAAAGTTTGCAGGTAATAAAAAAATTTAATTTTGGCTTTGACGGAAGGCGCGAATCTTAAAGCTTTAAAATTGTGTAAAAAAAATTGAAGAAATAATTTAATTTCATAGGAAAATCATAGTAAAACCCTATATATAATTTACATATTTATATAAAATTTTTTTAAAATTTTAAGACTTTTATCCTGGCAAGACTAAGTACACTGGAAACTCGTGGGATTTTTTCCACCCACTTTGAGATGTCTAGACAGTCTGACTTTTTGTGGGTCGAATAAAACAGAAGTAAAAGAAAACAAAAAGTAGAATTTTACCTAACAAAAAATCAATTATTTGCTTGTGTTTTCTTTACAAGAAATCCGAAGTCATTGTTTTCATAAATCCTGGAGAAATCGATGAGTTGAAAGCAGAACGAAATGTGACAAAAAAATGTTCATATCCACTTAGACCATTTTTTCGGATAAGAAGTAAATTCTGGATTGTGATTGTAAGCAGAGCAAAAAGAGGGACTTCTGAATTTTCCAGACAGCAACATTTTGCACACATTCCATTCCTCGGGCTCAATTAACATGCATCCAGAATGACACTTTCCTTCTTTTGTCTGCTCTTCCATCGTCTAATCAGCGCCTTTGTTGGCACTTTCACTTGCTTTGCTCTTTTCTCTGTTTTGGGGATCAGATGGGGATGCAGATGCACTCTGCCAAAGGCAATTTCAATGACTCTTCACTGCACATTTTCCCGGCAAAGGTGAAATTGCAGACCCATTTAAGGGTTGTTATCCCCCTTTTACCTTCCACAGAGCCCCTCTTTTTTGCCTATTTTCCACCTTCGCTGCTGCCAGGGAGACATTGTCAAAAATTCATAATTGAACACTTTCAGCCATCGACGGGGATGATGGAAGGGGAATATGCATGAGGATGGGGGATACTACGTACATGGATGTGGATGCTCTTCGGCAAAAGCACTTGGCCAACTGAATATCTTGGTCGTTAATAATTCAAGAGCTTTTAATGCCATGAATATTCATCACATTTTCGAGCATGATTTGATTTTATTGCGTATTTTCTATGACGTGGCAGAAATCATCCCTCCCTTTTGGTTAAGGGGTTAACCACCAGCCGCAGGGCACAAAAAAGGCTTCCATTTATATTTAGCTTAATAAAAACATAGCGGCTAAGAGAATCTATTACGCTATAGGGCATACTTTTCTATAAAATAAATTTAATATGCTTCAACACGAGGATTTTAAAAAGGTTCTGAGTTCAAAGATATTGAAGAAAAAAAAGTTTTCTTTGTTTTTTTAATTTTTGTAGGTGTTTCCGCTCACAATTGGTTAAAAAATAAATTAATAAATATTTAATTTAATAGTTTTTCTACCAGAACTTGGGCATAGTATCGTTCCAATCCCAATCCATTTCTCTTTCCGGTTTTGGGGTCGTCAAAATCCTGTCGTTTCCGTTCAGCATCCAGTAAACCCGCAGAACAAAGTCCATGTGACCCATCACATCCGTATAAACACTTGGTCTCTGGCACCTTTGGTTTGTGATGGCGATTCCAACCTGAACGAAGCGATATGAGTTCTGATACCTGACCATTGCACCCACTGGTCCACCAGTGTCGCCGATGCAAAGATTGCTTTTCCAATTTCCGGCGCAGAATTGGTCGCTCAAAACGTGGCCACACATTCTCGAAGGTTGGCGGGAAATATCTAGGGTCCTAAGTTCATCGCTGTCATGCCTTATCTCGGTTCTGCCCCATCCAGTACCGGTTAGCACTCGGATGCCATCGATAAACTGCTTCCAGGTAGTATCCCACACAATGCAGATGGGCCTGATGTTGCCTGTACATTTAGGTATATAATGTTTATTCGTCCAAAGTAAAATCTAATCAATTGAACTGACCTTTGTAAACTACACTGGTAGCCAGCTGGAGTAGGGCTATGTCATTTACATGCGTGTTTGGATCGTAGAAGCGGTGCTGAAAGGCCCTATCCGCCTGATACTCCTCACGATTTCCCTTTATTTGTCTTCTATTATACTCTCCTAGTCGAACAATGCTGCAGGGAAACCAATCTGATTTATTATGTATATTTTTTATTTCGGACGCCACTTACATTGTTGTGTTCGGAATTAAGCAATGGGCTGCTGTAAGTATCAATTCTGTAAAAAATAAATTAAAATTAAAATAATAAATTAAATGCATTATAGAAACTGTTATACACTCACTGTGAGATATTAGAGTTCCACCACAGATGAATTCATTTTTGGTGGTGTGCAAAAACGCCATCCACGGACTTGAGTTACTATGTGCAACCTTTCCATTCACGACCCTTGGCACGTGTTTATGTGAAGATCTTACTCCACAATCAGAGTCAAGAAATTGTGTAAATACCGGATTGGGGAAAACCAGCATGAGGAGAATGACTGCGGTTCCGATTACAATGATCTCCATTGCGGGAATGTTGAGCGATCGTTCTAGAGAATCGCTTTTGTAAAGTCGACTTTACAGCTATCAAGCTTTTGAATCGGAGAACCTTTAATCTTTGACAAGCAGCTGGAAATGCATATAGATTTGTACTTCTTTTTTTTGCAAAGAAACATTTTTTCAGTGAGTGTGATAGATAAAGATTTATAATTAAATATTTTGTGATTATATTCCCAGCCGTTAAAGATCGTAATTAACAACATTGCTCTTAGAAATAGGTATAGAAAAAATATAATATATAAAAAATTAATGTATAATTATTTATTTTAATTAATATTGCTTTATTTGCATTGGGAAAGTGAAGCCCGAACCTGGCTGCATGGCGCAGAAGTAAAACAAAATCTAGGTCAGACAAACCGAAAAGCGTTTCTGGAATACAATCAACTTTCAATGGGTGTAAAAAGGACAACCCATACCCGTGTACGGGTTTTTATGGCCACACGTGGCTGTCTGTTTTGTCGTCAACCTGGCCAACAATGTAAGCTCCTATTCGAGCATATATAACCCATCCCATCCCAAAACCCTCCCCCTTCCAAAGCATTTTTATTTCAAAAGTTTCCATTTTGGCGCATCGTAAATTTGGTCGAAAATGCACCATAAAATATATTGATAGATGCGTTTATCGAGTATGTGGGTGGGAGTTTTCCAGGAGTGCGCTTTCGTGGCCTCATCGATTTTCTGAGTATCCAGATCGTGATAAACGAAATGAAAGAATAACTCCCTTAACCTCATTTGCGGCTAATCACTCTGATTACTTTGACTATTCGGTGCGGCCCATTAAATGGCTATTTGCTTATCAATGCCGTGTCAACCTATTGCCTTTTTACCCCACTCCTGCCCCCTCCTCCTGTGCCCTGTGACCCTTGACACTCACTCATCAATTGTTTGGCCTGACAATCTCGAATCGTTTTGGTCTTTCGGACTACGTGAGACAAGTCTAAATGTCAGGAAGCTCGGCTTCATCAAATCAAATGAAATCAAATGATTTGCCGTGCAGCTGATTTATGTTTAATTTATAGAGCATACTCCGAGAGGAAAGGCCTGACCGGCATGCAAATAAATTTCCAGGCAGACCCAATCCGATGAAGACATAAACTCAAACTGACACAGAACGACGCGTCGCACGAGTACCAAAACGTCAGAAAGAAAATCTCTGAGAGAGAAGAGTGAAAATGGGGGTAAAAGAGAGCCGATTCAGCTAGCTGAATGTAGAGAGCCGGAAAATGTTGACCAACTTTATGCTTGCGGTAGGCCAGGGAAAACTCGGCTGCCAACGAAGCCAATAAGTGGAGCAACAGCCAGGACAACTGGAGCCAAAAGCCGGCTGCAGGACTCTAAGGGACTCGCGGTATAAGAGAGCGCAGCGAATATTCGAAGAGAGCCAGCAATTGGTAAAAATGGTAAAAATTTATAACACCCGCGATTTGACTTATATTCGGGGAGATTTAAACCACAGGAATTTAGTTTGATTTTATTTTGTAACCTACTTTTAATTTCTGAAGGAATGGGAGAAAATTCTTGAAAAGTTAAAATAAATCTGGAAAGTGGTAAAAATTATATGTAAAATACAATTATTAAGATTATTCAAACTCCTACATCTTATACCAAAAAAATTTGTTTTCAGCAAAATAAACAACATTTTACATTTAAGAAAAATGACTTCCACATCAATTAATCAGAATCTGTTTATTGGAAAATGTTTGATTTTGATATAAAATAGATATTAACTTGTCAATCAGGTAACATTTAAAAATCTATTCCATTCTCGCCTTGACTATTCCCTTCGCAACTCAAAAATTAAAAAGGGGAATTCAACGAATCTGGTTCGAATATCAAAGTTCCCTTTCCCCAACGAAGCGGCTTCCATTTCAAATAAAATACAAGAGTCGATGGCTGCGATGATTGGGAGGGGAAATGTGGGGAGGGGGGAGCGGCAAATCAACAGTGCCAAATTCAATTGCAAATAGTGAAACACATTGTTCTCGTGTCTCACTGTTTCGTTGACAAGTTTTTAGTTTTTATTATTTTTCGCCTCGCTTCGGTGGAAGACTGGTAAAAAGGATGAGTGAGGGGTTTTCGGGGGTGGTGAGAATAAAAGCGTCGTCGACACTGTGGGAATTTATTGAAAACGCTTCGATTTATGTTTAGTGCGATATTTGCATTTTGGCTGACGAACGAAACGGGCGACAAATGCAGCAGAAATATGTTTCCAGCGGAGGGCGAGGAAATTCGGGGACTCGACAAGTGGAGAGATGCCGGGAAATAAATAGAAGGCAGGCAAGGGATGTCGCAATGGGAATTCGATTGGTTGAGATGACAGGATAGATAAAACCTTGAGCTTCCTATTGCCAAAAAATATTTAGGTTAAGGAAAGCGCTCGAAACAGGTTGTTAAGGGGTTAAAGTCACAGGTAGACATTTTGATAACACTTATTTAAAAGATTTTTAAAATTTAGTAAAAATCAATACAGTGAAAATTAAAAGGGTATCTGAATTCTATTTTACGTACCGAAAAAAGGGAAATGGAAAAGCGTCCATAAAAAGCAATTCGACTTTGCGGCTTTTAGGACTGATTGTAAGAGATGCCGCAAACAAATGAAGTTGTCACCAGTGGTTTTCATACATATAGGCAGACCGCGAAAAGCCGCAAACGGAGAATTGAGCTGGCGAGTGGAAAAAAAAACAAAAATCGAAAAAAATAGAGGCAGGCACAGTCCAACTAACGAATAGTCTTTAATCTTCTTAAGTGAGACTACGGGCACAGCTGCTCCTTCCATTGGACGACTGTCATCGGGAGCGAATGTGAGTTGGTAATAAACCAGGCAACCAGGCCAAGGAGCCAACAAGTCAAGGAGCTTTCGGATCCTCCTATTCTGGCATTTTTATGTCCTCCTCCTCTATCTCCTTAAAACATCCCGGCTTTGGGAGCTGGCAGAGCCAGCTTATTTCTTCCATTGTCCAAAAAGCGAATTTAAGGCATTTGATTGATTACCGGGAATTTCCGAAAATTAACCGGATTTCCATTTGGGAATCACGCTTTCTTTTATTTCGTATTTTATTGGCTTTGTTAGCTGGCGAGATGTTAATGGGTTCATATACTCATTTACAGAGTTTTACATACTCTTTTGCCATGAAGTTATACAGCAGCCCATACATTTACCTAATCATTAAAAATTATATTAGACAAAAATTTATTTAAATTATTAAAGTTAAGTTTTCGATGTAAAGAATTTCAAGCACTTAAAAATAATCGTTAAAAAACTATGACATATTTTACCATATTAAATTAAATATAAAAAATTATTAAATATGAATTTATCTGATTTCCTATGAAATTTTTTGTATTGGAGAAATGCTGTGATTTTATTATATTATCAGGTGTTGAATTGTTTGTTTAAATAGTAAAATAATTTAGCCATGGTTTATTTTTATGAAATCCAGATATTTATCACATTATTGGTTTTCTTTAATTTATCTTAGCAGAACGTATGTAAGCAATTTACTAATCATTCTGGAGACTCTTAGCTCAAAAGCGGAGTTTATCCTGATCAACGGGTACCCAATAGTTCCTTACCTATCCGACTTTTCCGTTTCCTTACTCGGCTTTCATCTCGAATAGCACTGGTTTTGCATGAGGAGAAGGGCAGTGGATGTAATTACTTTAATGCGACCATTTGCCGCTTTAGTTCCCGCTGATGCTGATGTAGCTCCGGCTGCTTGGGCCGAGATAAAGATAAACTTTTGCAATTACAAGCGGCGAGAGTAAGCGAAGCAGAAGAATCAGAAGCAATCGGCTGGGGGAATGAACTCCCTGCAACCCGATAGCATCGAATCGAGTTTTCTTTTAGTGCGTCTCCCATTGGCATTGGCTAATTAGCTGAAACACCTCCCTTGACTTGGTTCTTCCTTAACTTCAAGTTAAAGAGCCCAACCGTACCTTAAATATGCCCACTTAAATAAACTCTAAACTAAGACGACTCTTTAAAAAGTTCTGCCCAACTTGCTAGCGTTGAAATTTCCTCTCCCAACATATGCAAAGCGAAAAAGAAATCAGAAAAAATGCTTCGACTTAGGTGGGTCCGCCTAAAAAGAACTTTTGATGACTTTTTGAAAGTTTTACGCTTCACCAGAAGTAAAACGCAAATTACACGACCCAGTATTACTCATGGCCAACAATAACAAGGGCAACGGGCATCAACATCCGGAAGGAGCTACTGCGAAAGATATAAAGTTGGGACCCTCGCTTTCCACCTCGTCATAATTTGATGGTCGGGACTTTTGACCCCCCAACAAGTGAGTGCAACAAATGAGCCAAAATTGGCGACTAATTGGGCCACAGTTTCGGAGTGGCTTTGAAAGTAATGGGTAAATAGGTGGGATTAAACGGGAGTTAAAAGTACCAAGTGAAGCAAAAAAAACTGAAAAAATACGTAAATTGTTGGCAGAAATAAAATGTGTAGGAATTTTATAGGAGTTATGAAATTTGACAGGTTAATAATAATAATAATAAAAATGGTATATAATAATATTTATAATATTTATAAATAAAGAAAGTTTATTTATATTTACATTCAGTTATTTCTTCGAAGGCATTTTTACGGCTTACTAAAAGTTAGTAAAATTCCCCGTTAATGAACCAAAATCCAGATATACGTTCTTTCATTCAATATTCCACCGCGGGTCTAAGCCGCAGTCGGAAAAAGCAACCCGGCATACAGAAGATAAACCCTCACCACAAAGTCACATGCAAAAATTCGTGGGCATTTCGCTGTTTTTTCTAGCTAGAAGCTTCGGAGCTTCTGCTGCCAACCCGCTGACCAACCAAACATTTTGTTTGTGCAAAAATTTTGTGTGATTTCCCCACGGAAATTGATGATGGTGTTTGCTGAGTCGCAAACGTGTTGGCGGAGTTAAGCGGGATGAGTTTGCGGGCCAGAACAGAGCCGTCCCATCGCAGGGCCCACCTACGGTGAATTTGTCATTTCCAGTTCTAAACGTGCGGACAAACACTGAATCAGTCGTGCCCGAGGGCCAGTGGATGAGGGGATGTGGGGCTAAGGGGTTATGGGGATGTGGGAATCGGGAATCGCAGAAGGCCGGTCAGTTCGGCCAGGAGATGGCACACGGAAGCCCCAGCCAGGCTGTGCCTGTTCGATGACGATTCGGTGTGCGTGGGTCCTAGAGATGAGGGCGTGATATGAAGTTCGATAACTGGGAACTTGTATGTTGTCCTAAGCAGGATTTTGTTTTAGGTTTGAGAAATTTTATTTTAAATCTTTTAAAATACTCAAACTTTTTGATTTCTATTCAGTAAATCATTTTTTAGAGATTATAAAAAAACAAAAATATTTATTTTCCATTTAAAAATGTATTTTGTTGATTTGTTTCGTATTTTAGTCTTCACTTAACAAAAACGAATTATGGTCATAGTTTTAAAAATGGATAAAAAAAATTCAAGAGATATTTTAGAAAAATATTACAGTATTGAGCCGTTCTAAAGTTTTAGTAAATATATTTTTCATTTTCAAAAACTTTTCGTTAATGTTATGTTTTAGTGTACAAATGTATTTATTTTCTTACTAAATTATTTTGCTTGTGAACTTTGATTTAAATATGATTTGAAAATATAACTCTATTTATTTCTGAAATTGAAGAAAATTTTTTAAATCAACATTATTTATATTTTTACTTGTACCAAACTCACGATCGCTGTTCAATTCAATAGTGGGCCCTGCTCATATTTGGCCTTTTTGTTGGCCTGGTTGTCAGCAGCCATGCCAAAGGACTGGAGACCAGGACTCAGCTCGAGGACGAGTAGGAGGACGAGGACAAGAGCACAGTGCGTGTCGCTTTAACAAACCGGAAGTTACATGCGATGTAATGAAAAAGGACAGGGCGGAAGTCGCAGTGGGGTTCCCCTTTTCACCATTCTACCATTTCCATTTCGCCAAGGGTGGCGAGTAGCCCCGGTTCGGAATCAGGACCACCAGGACTACGGACTACGGCCCTATCCGAATGAGTTTGCTTTAACGCTGCTGGTATTTATAGACAATTGGTTCGTGATTGTTGACAGCGCTCAGCGTCGCGCTGAACTCTCCACGGACCCAGGAACCAGCCATCGAACATCCACCATCCACCGTCCACCATCGACCACTCGAATCGAATTGACTCGGCTGGTCTACTCGATTCTGCACTGGCAATTTTTTGCATGCCCCATAAAAATAGTACGAAATATGGTTGCTTCTGTGGGCAGAGGCGAGTCGGAATCAGATGAGTGGGTTTAAGTGAATGGCTGTGCACTGCAGGCAGGAAATAGCGGGCAGTTTCCCATTTAGGCAATTGAGTTAGGCTCCACAGCCTGGGGATAAATCAGAGATATCTGCCAAGGATTTGCAAACAAAAAATATACATTTAACACAAGTGAGTGACTTTTTCCAAACTTTATTTTACTGACATATATATTTTTTCGTACAAATCTGATGACCTAAGATAAAAATGTCACTTAAAAAATTACTAAATGATTTAAATTCACAAAACATTAGATTCCTAACAAAATTACGTGTTGAAAAAATTAAAATGTCGGAAAGAAATGAAAAAGGTGCGAATAGTTCGGTAGCTAATACCGTTCTTAAGAAAGTAGAATCACTTCTCGATATCAGCGGTAGTTCTCTGGATGCCAATTCCCTATCGTGCACTTTGGGAAAAACTCAATCGGTCCCCCAAAATGGAGATCATAGTGTAAAGAGCATAGCGGATATGGCTCTGCCTAAATTGAGAAGCGAATTGGGCTACGATGTGGTCCACAAGGAGGTTCAAAAGATAAAAGAATCCCTAGATGCCTATTCTCAGCAAATGCAATCAGTTGATCAGGATGTGGCTGAAATATTTTTGGATTTGCACAATATTTACAAGAGACTGGAAAAACTCGATGGTAGTGGCAGAAAGTTGAGCAGCGCCAAAAAGGCCAAGTTGTTGAAACATGTCAAAGAGTCTGAGGATTTATTGAGCCGTTCGCGGCATTTTCTAACCAACGATCCCAAGGAGATGAGTGCCATGCTTGTTGGTCCGCCAAAGGAACCGCAATCCAGTTCTAAGGTACGTGGTCGTTTATCCCAATCATCAAACCCAAATAACGATCGGTATCAAGGGGGACTAAGCCAATATGGATCGCCATTCGAAAGGAAGTATCGCCATCTGCACACGAAAAGTACAGAGAAGCCTGTCTTTCTCAGCAATATGGTAGTGTTCAAGAAGTCGGACTATTCCCTTCACCTCAATCGCTACAAGACGTATTTCAGTGAGGCCAAGAGGGCCCAAAATCCGGACTATTATTTAAAAAAATAATTTGTATTAAGAATATTCAGAATAAAAAGCTATATGCCACTATGTATACCATTTATTCCGATTTCTCAATGTCAGGTTAACTTTTGTTTTTAAGTGTAATGGTTTATTGCTAAATTTAGTTTCTACATATCGTGTTAGGTTGTATAGACGTTTAACTAAAGGAACGACAGATGTGAAACTGCAACCTATATATCACGTTAGGTTGTATCTGACTTAAGTCGTATAACTAAAGGCAATACTCTAGTTAAATTCTAGTCACATTAAGAAATCGAATTTAACATCAGGTTAATTTACCCATACAAATAGCAGATAGACATTGAAAAATAATAATATAATAACCAAACAAAAATACTGATGCAGTATTTTATTTAATGTTAAATAACATTACTGAGGGCCTATCCGTTGGATACTTACACTTAAACATTATCCCGATTACCTCACTTAACTGGAAATAACCTGCAGACCTTTTGCATTTCAATTTTTTTCAATTGCTGCTTTCACTTGCTTCCCCTAAATTTCTTTGTTATTCTTCTGTTTGCTCCTTCAATGGCTTTGTAAACAAAGCAAAGTGCAAATTTATGTGGTAAACCACTTGAAATCGAACATTTTTGCCATCACAGGAGAGAGATGCCCTGAATGCGAAGCTTTGATTGTTACTTAAAATGTATCTTGAACTGTATCTGTATCTCACTTTTTGCCCTCGCCTCGCCCAATCTGAATCCGAATCCGACTCCAAATCCGAACCCGCAACTGTTGTGCAAATGTAAATGTTGGCAAAGTGGCAAGTCAGGTGGTTGAATGTTACTCTCTTCCATTCCATTAGCCTCAAGTTAAGGCTTTTTTGGCCCAGGCGATGATTGTTAATGTCGGAATTTGCATTTAAATCTCAGTTCTAGGGGATATATGTCGGTTTAATATTAAGTTATTCTGCTCGGTTTAATTCTGGTTCACAGCTCTGTATTTGGGTTACCCATCGCTCTATTGTTGGGACAAAACGGGGTTAATTCGATTATCGTCAATTGGAATGTGTGGTACTTCTTAATTGATTTGAGCAAACGTTGCAAACGAGATTAATTGATGAGTGCGGGGATGCCAAAGCCCCCAATCAAAACGGACAATTCAAATTGTGTGGAGCTCCATCCCAAATTGTGTTGTCTTTTTTACAGCAGCCGGTTGTGTGCACTCAAAATAATAGAGCAAATACGACAAAGGGACTGGAAACTGAAAACCGAGAACTGAGAACTTAGGATCCTGCGAATCCAAGGATCTCTGACTGCTGCAGCCTGTGTAATGGCAGCGTTTACTCAATTTTAGTACGTAGTAAACGTATTTCTTTTATGGCCCCGTAGGTTATTTGTGCATCGCTCTGACTCGCTGGCACGGTCTACATTTTCCACATTTTCCACATTCCGGGATGGGGATGCCATCCAGCTAGCTAGCTGTACTCAGACAAACAATTCAGAAAAGATATATATCCCTGACACAATAAACGAAGTTCGTTTCCTGAGTGGCCATTTTACTGCGAGGCCTTTCAAGTGCCTCCCCCCTATATCATCCTAACTGGGTGTACTAGCTACTCAACCCCTATCTTGGGGCCAGAACTAAGCAAATATTCGCACACAAATATGATGAAGTATCGGGGGAATGGGCTTGGGTGGGCGAAATGTTTGTATTCCTGCTTCTGGTTTGCTTTTAATTGCTTTCAAGTAAACAGAATGCCCCTTGGTAAATGGGAACATAAATATAATTGCCAGGTTTGCCAGGCTCCTTGCATTCGCCATCGCATTCGCATTGCTTTAAAATTTCACCTCTCGAGGCCATATGGTATATGTGCCAGAGTCAAACATTTGCCTGTCCAGCTCTCCCACTGCCTTCCAATTGCCAGGCTGCTCTGTTTGGCACTGCCGAAGGTGTTATTTAATTTAATGCCATGATTTGACAGATTACATATTTACCACTCTGATTATTGTGGTCGCTCTCGCTGGGGCCTTTGATTTGACTACTAAACTGGCTAACACAATTAACCGGAAACCAAATGTAGCATGCGAGTCCTGGATAAACATTAATCAAACGGGAAAATAACCAAGTTTGTCTTGAATTCTAGAAAATATATGCTCTATCTAATCAATAATATTTTTACCAAATCATGAGATTAAAAAGCTGAGATTAGTTTCCAGTTAAGTACTCTTATGTTTAAAAAAAGTAAATACATTTTTTCTAATAGTATGTGCATTTAATTAATATTCCTAATTACCATTTCCACTTTTTTTTTTGTTAATTTAACTATTTTAACCAAAATATTACTGAATGAAAGGCTGATATTAGTTTCCACTGGAAAAAACCTATTTTAAGCACTTTTATCACTGCATTTTATTTGAAAAATTAAAATGTATTTTTGTGCTATTATTATGTGCATATAATGCAAATCACTTATGTTGCATTGTGTTATATTTACATAGCTGCCAACCCGCAGTGTGAATGATTTTTTTGCTTAGCAAAGTATTTTTTGTTCTGTATTGTGGAATCGACTTTTGGAGTGGGTGGGGTTGGTCAAGTGCCAGCTGCATTAGGCCATAAATTTGCCAAAAAGTAAACAGTAAACATTTTATTGTTCAACCCACCGCTTCTCCAATTCGACTGTTTTAAATAATTATTTAACATTTTACATTGTTTAGCTGGCGTTTTTCGTGTTGCCATGCGGGTCTCGCATTTCGATGGTGCAGAGGTTGCAGAGGGGACGGCTTTTGTTTGTTGTAAAGATTTGCACGATTTGCATTTGTGCCAAAACGATTCATGAATGATTCATGTGCGCCAGACCAGAAGCAGATGTCGACAATACTCATCCCACTTCGATTTATGCATCGGGCACGTGCCAACTGTTTTGGCGGCGATGACGGTGGAGCTTTAAAAGGATTCCAAATGTCGACAAAAGAGGGATGTGTAGGTATTTTTAAATGAATTTAAAGGGATTTATTATTTAGATTGCAATTTTTGAACCCCCTAAAAATATCAATAGTTTTCTGGGGAAACTAAGTTGCTTTTCTCTAAATGCTATCTTTGTTTCACCAGCATGTCTTGATATTTCCTTCTCATAACTAATACACAAATCGCATTGTCACAATGCCGGTAAGTGATTGAATTTATTTTTTTATTTTAACTAAACATTTTTTTTAAACAGTTTATAGCTAACCAGTCTTCAAAGAATAGGGAAGCAATGAGCGGTCGAAAGGCACAGCAGTCACCGACTTTGAAAGTGAGCCATGGCCTCCGTCGAAAGACATCGCTCAAGGACTTCACTCAGAAGATGAGAAAAGATCAGAAGGAACAGAAGTACAAGCTAAGGGAGGAGGAGAAAACCACCTGGTTGAATACCAATGATCAGACGATTGCAGTACAGAAGAATCACATGAGGAATTTTGGAATGGACATGAATAATTTCTTCAAAATTAATGAAAGCAATACCTTTCCATTGGAATCAGCCAAATCTGCGGATGTGACAAAGGTATCGCATACACCCAATATTGCCATAGATACAATAATACCACCTAAGCCGTCCAAGAATGGCCTTGCTATTATTCTATACAATTTTTTAAGTCCCGATATTGTGACTTTCGTTAAGAAACGCACTTTGACAATGAAATCTCCTCGACAGTATAAATCCGGTAGAAATAGAATTGCGAAACATAACTCTTATGGAAAAAAGTCATCCAAATCTTCTATTGCAAATACCAGGAACCCCGTAGAATGGGAAAATACAACGCCTAGAAATAATACAGATCGCGATTTAAGAGAGAATGACCCCAACTCTGATCCAGAAAGTGATGGAACGGTTTGCGAGGAAGATCGTTTAACCGTCAGAACTGAAGAACCGAATTCTTTGTCAGATGAGAAGTTTGTTTTAGACATAAGTGTAAATATAGTAAGGGAAGAACCCAATCGATCGGATAATGAGTTGATTTTGGAAAATGAAGAATGCAAAATGTATGTTAAATCAAATCTTAACGAGGAAAAGAAAAATAAAAAAGCCAAGAATGAGTTAGAAACTAAAAATGTTATCGAGGCAACATCCGAAGGAACCGAAAACTTGGAAAGCCCCCGGAGTGTAGCCGTAGTAACTCCACGTCTAAATATTCCATATCAGACTACTCCCGCGCTGCCAGGAGCATTAGCATCTATTTCCGATCCGGGGACCGATGATGATGAAGATGAAAATTATGATGAAGTTTATCCCGTATCCAGTATGTATAACCAGCCCATTCGCATTCCCCGACCAAGACTACAACTCCATAGAACCATAAGATTCCGCGAACATGACAACCTTTATCCTGTGACCTCCTTTTTCAGAAGACTCCTGTCGGATGTAATAGACAAAATCTCGAAGGACGAAAATCTACGTCGTATAAATACAAATCGCATTCGGAATATTACCCAAACTAATAACCAATTACTTAAGATTTGTGAAGAGCGAAAGGTGGCAATTGAAGAAAATTATTCAAAGAAAGACGGAAAGATTTTAGTGAAGCCTGGAGTCCATTGGACAGATAGATATCTGTATTACATTTTTCCTGGAATACTGGTAATGGGCCTTGTGTTTTCAATCTATTATTTGACATACATAGGGCGACCTGTACCTCTAACACTTTGGCAGTGTTTTCTTCTTGTGTTTTTTGAAAAAAAAGAATGAATAATTTCCAAATTAATAACTGTGAAAATAGAAAAAAAATGTTATATATTTTAACCCAGTAAATAACACGTTTAAAATGCGGATCTATTTATGTTTTGTGGATATTGTTCAGAAATTCAAAATTCCAAATTTATATCAGTGAAAATAAAAAAAAGTTAAATTAATATTTTCTTTTTCTTAATATTTTCTTGGGTCACCTGAGATGGGATATGGATATTCCTTTATAGGAAAATATAACTTTTGATCTATCAAATGAAACTTTAGTACCTTTCGGAATGCAAGTGTCTCAAAACGAAGCCATTTCAATATTTAGTACCCAGTCGATTAGCCCTGCCTACGCCTTTCTCTTTGGAATCCCCGAGTTGAGATGAAGACGGAGATGGCAGGAACAACAGCCTGCCTGACAGCCAATCGCGCCAGTGAGCGTCGGCAAATGCAAATTTAATGGTCTATGAAAAAGGTAGCCGGGCAAATGCTTTTAACCACATCCGCTGCTATTAGTTCACCGTCGACGGAGGAACTGAACGAACCATCGGAACCGTCGGAAAACCGGTTGCTAAACAACAAGAGCGACGGATAACAATGGAAAATGACGCCAGTGGAAATGCGAAAATCAATGCGCATTAGTGGATGGTGTTATTTCATCTTATTCTGCCGGAGAATTGCCAATATCCCCGGCTAACCCTCGCTTAAATTTTACATTAGCCAAAGTGGATGTGAGAATCAAACGCCACCGCAGGAGCATAGCAGTCGATTGAGCATTGAACTCGGTTATGGGTTTTCTGAATATCTGATGTCACGAACTTTCAAATTTGGCGGGGAATTTCATTTTAGATGGTTTTATCAAATGACCTGAGGAATCATTTAAATATTTAGTAAATAATAAAAAAAACTTGTGTCTGATATTTTATTAGAACGAACTATTTTCAGTTTTGTCTTAAGAACCTTTTAAAATTTTAAAAAATCTTTAAATATATTTTTTATATTTTTAAGTTTAGAGAAATTTAACTACAAAAACCAGTAACATTTCTTCTAGATTTAATCCGAAAACCAGTAAAACTATTCAGTAGTTTACTCCGAGTACCAAAAAAAACTAATTTTAAATTATATATTGTATCAAAAACAACAATTTTAAATCATGTTTGAAAACCTTTAAAAATTTAAAAAATATTTTGAAATATTTGTCATTTTAAAAACTTTTGATTCGAAATAAGTGAAGATATAAGGGTAAGCCTTCTTTCTTTCTTTCTTTGAGTGCTGTGTCTAACCGACATTTACGGTAATTGTTCTGCTTATTCCCGCATAGATCGGCAACCGAAATGACAACTGCCAACGACCGCAGTCAAATATGAGCAATGGCCCGGATTGGATCGCATTCGAAGGGTTGGGGATCACACGCCCCCAAAAACAAATGCTGACTGGGCGGAGGACTCTCGACTCTCGTTCGTCAAATGCAATCCGCAGGGGGATTTTTCTTTTGGCATTTCCTGCCGTGTCCTGCCACTCGTGCATGCAATCCAAAACACATAGATACAAGCACTCACACACACTCTCTCCCTCAGAACAGCCAGGACGACCACACACGCACACACAAGCCATGCATTCAAGCGCAAATTAAGCTTGACAAGCAAAAATTAAACTGTGTATCTGTGTGGCAGGGTGTTTTCCTGGTATTCGTATTCGTATCTGCTAGATACATTCGGTTGTTCGCTTTCCCCATGTGCTTGTTGGGCAAAATATAATTTCTTCATGTTCAGTTCATTAAACAGAGCAAACCAACTTGGAAAAGCACTTACCATGAATAGATTTTAAGGGGCCCCGACTTCCAAATACAGTTGACGGAAAGCCAACGAGAAGGCGACACAAATAGCAGTAGAAATAGTAGAAACTGAAATATAAATAGAAATAGAATGGGGGGACCATTTCAAATAAATATGCAAATCGCAAAATGGAACGATAGAAATGAATTTGAAATATCACTGCACTCCTTAATGAACTATTTGTGTTTGTCTGCATTTGCTTTTATTTGTTTTATTCGAAGATGCAGAATTTCTTGCTGCACAAGTAGATTATGCTTTCAATTTATTAGTTGCAAGCAAAGCAAGTGCAAAAAATATCTGTTTTAAAAAATTTTAATTCTGTTAGAAAAAATATTGGAGTGCAATCAATGCATTAAATAAATATTTACAAAAATGTTAATTACATTAAAATGTACTACTTCTACTTATTTAATTACAGTGAATTAATTGATAGCTATCAATATGAAATTTATTTTAATTTTTTTAAAACTAATTAATTTTATTTTTTAAGATGCTAAAATGCTAAATGAAAATGTAATTATAACTGACAGTTTCTTGTAATAAAGAACAAAAGTTTTAAGTGAGTTATAGTTTCGCTGTTTATGCAGCTAAATCCGTGTCCCAATAATCTGAAAACAAAGCAGACATAAATTCATCCTGCCAAAGAAAAAGGCTCTGCAGTGGGATATTATCTGAGATATTACTTTTTGGTTGGCCGAGGAAATGACGGGGCATAAGCCATTGTACCGCGTTAGTGGCGTCAAATCACTTAAACGCAACCTAAACAATGGCCAAATCTGCGGCATAAAGGAAAAAATGGAATCTGGAAAACCGATTGGCATGGCCGAAAGCAATTCCCCACGATGACAGCCACAAAATGATGAACTCTCTGTTTTTGAGGTCGGTCGTTGAATCAGGGGGACTTTTTCAGAATATATACACGTATTTATGTTTCTTATTTAAGCAATTTGATACTGAGTCGCATTAAGTTTGACATTCGCCTGATTATGACTCTCGAGAGATCTCCCCACCTTCTGTCTTTTGGTTCTCCCCATGACTTTTGCACTTTGGCCCAAGTTGATGAAATTAATATTAGGCTCTCTCGGCAGAAGTTGCTGCCTCATTCAGTTGCCTTCTTATCAGTGGCAAGCTATTGATAGGCAAAACTCAAGGCTGAGTGCATGACTCTGAGGCCCTACAAATGACAGATGACTTGGAATGGTTATTTATGGTTTCTCTGTTCGGAAAAAATAAATAAAATAAATATTATAAATACATGTACTTAAGTAAGTATACAAAATCTGACTTATCTTATCCTAGGGTGCCTTTATAAATTATTGTTCGATAAAACTCTGTACTGCTCACCTCAATTCCGAATATGGCATCGCATTGGCCTGATTACCCCGAAGACAAATATAAAAATTCTCATCTCGTAATATCCCTCTTCAAATACTCACTAGACAAATGCTATCTATATGCAATCAGCAAATATGGGCTCAAAGGACCTCGGCATCGGCTTCAGAGCTTCGGTTACAAAGCCCGTAACGAAGGCATCTCAACCATTCCATTCCATCCATATCCATACCATCTTTTCAATGCATTATGCAGGCACTTTTGCAGGCAAGTGGAAATTATGTCAAAACAAAACGTGCAAGTCAAGTCACTCGTTAGTCTGAGAGGCATTTCAATTAAAGGCTCGCAATGTGCAAGATGGCACGATGATGGTGAAGGAGCGGAACGGAATCCAGAACCAGAAAAATACACAGAAATGAGTGCTGCGAGCACAAAAGTTCAACTAATACGATATGCAGCGACAGAGGAGTGAAATGCTCAGTTGGGCCAAGGAGGGAGCCAAAGAGCAGAAAAAAGGGTGGATAGAACATGCCTCAAAGACCCCTGAGCTGCTATTTATCAGGACCTCGCAATCTGCGAATCCCAACGCTGAACGATCACTCTTTAATTAACCAAACAGGTTGGCTTTGATAGACATGTGGTACACGGAATATTTAGTAAAATTTATTATAACAGTTTAAAAAATTTTAAAAATTATTAAACCTGTAATAATAATAATATTATTAAATATCATTTACATTTCCACAAACTACCAATAAAAAAACAACTAGAAAAGTTGTTATTAGCTGAATAATATAGACCGATTCATCTACTATTAATTTAACAATTATATAAAGTGTAAATATAAATGACACGTTATTTAAAAGCAGTGGCGGATCCAGGATTTTTTTGTGGGGGGTGATATCAGAACAATTTTTTTGTTGCATATTTTTTGAATACCAAAATTTCTTTCCTTTTTTCACCCGAGTGGGGGGTGATATATCACCCATATCACCCCCCGTGGATCCGCGCATGCTTAAAAGGAATATTTACTCAAGGAAATATTTATTTTTGAATACAATTAAATACAATTTAAGTAAATAAAATAAATATTAAAATATCACACATATATTTTTATTGGCTACCAAAAAAATCGTTTCTTTATCTTGCAAATTTCCACTGGCAAATAATTTCGTATTTTGATTTATTTGGTATCTTTATTAATATAGTATAAATCAACTAAAAAAATAATTTTCAAGTAAAGGGCATTTGCGTTCGCTCACGATTTATTTGCAAATTCTGCAGATTCCTCGCCTCGCTCTGCATTCGAATTGCTTTCTTTCAGTTTTTCTGTGCATATGTCTGGGCAGCATTTGTAAGGATTTTCCATGTCTTCCTTTCTTTTCCCATGCGGGTGTGTGTGTGTGCTCTGCAAGTCGACTTCATTCATTCAAAAAAAGTTAATTCATAAATCGCACAAAGCGCGCTGATACGAAAGACGCACACATGGCAACCCTTATTGCTCAGAACAGAACAGAACCAGAACCAGAACCCCCATGCAAAATGCATTTTCCCCTCTGCTTCCCCCTGTTCAAATAAAAGATTTCTATCAGGTGCCTCTTATGGCGCATAAAAGTACTTAAAATATGTTTGACTTTTGGACAGATCTCTGGGTTCTCTGTAGGTTGGGTAGGGGGCGTGGTCGCTTTGGTATGCGAAATTTCTAAGGCAACTCACGACCCCCGCGAGTTGTTTAATTTTTCACCCATCGCCGAGCACGGCAATAGAAGCGTTTTATTTGCGAATGCGTTTAGCGAGATTGCTGTGCTGCGATATGGGATATGGTTACTAAATCAGAAATGTATATATGCGGATATCTTGCAGATAAAATCGAGGGTTGCCACAGGGCATTTGTCTATTAGAGGTTTTTAGATAACCTTAACCTGGCATATAATCGGGAATGTACATATGTTTTTTGTTCATTAAAGAATATTCTTAAATAATC